GCTTTACTGTGCACAGTGGATATATATTTTGTGGGTAATTCTGTTGCAGGGTTGTAGTTAGGGATGATAATGTGCAATAAATACTGTTGACAGTTGCAGTCTGTACCTCTGCTGCAAAAGGAGACATGGACCAATGCCACAGGCAATGACGGAAAGTGAAAGGGAAACACTGTGTGTGTGTGTGTGTGTGTGTGTGTGTGTGTGTGCGTGTGTGCGTGTGTGCGTGTGTGTGCGTAAGCTCCTAAAGTAGGTCCACATGTCTCTCCCAGTTATGCCTAAATAGCAAAGGTCAAGGTTCCTGAATCTTAGGCCACGAACCTTGACCTTTTGTTATTGCACATTTCCCTCAGTCTGCCAGATCTTCTGTTCTCTCATACACAGACTCCGATTCTGTATTATCATCATCCATGGTCCAAGAGACAGCCAACCAGCATGTTTTAATATGCGTACATGTATGTACAGATACCGATATACATCCTAAATGTGTTCTGTCACACTCACATACACAAACACACACACACCACTGCATTAGATTCATGTGAGTGCTGGTTAAGGCAAGCACTAAAACATGTATAAGATGAGATTGTGAAAGCACAATGCTGAAGAGCATGCATGATGAATGATATCAATGTGCATAACTCTGAGCCTGCATTGTCTATGCAAATGGGTTATTGACATAATAAGCTTTTTGTTTAGTGGATCATACATGAAAGCACAAAAGTCTGTTAAAATTGTCCTTACGCTCTAAAAAAATGCTGGGTTAAAAACAATGCTGGGTTCGTTTTAAGCCAGCCATTTAGTCATTTTTAAACAATAGTTGAGTTAAATAAAACTACCCAGAAGGTTGGGTTAAACATTTAAGTTGCTGGGATTGTCCATATTTCACCCAGCGCTGGGTTGTATTTAACACACCATTTTTTACATTGATTGTACATTGTACATTGATTTTGAATGGTTAATACATTTTATATTATAAAACTGTTAGTAAAATAAACTAAAAATGGAAAAACTCTAGATAAAATGACAAGTTAATTTTCATTCCAACAGTTTTAACAACACTAAAAAACATGAAGGAACTGAGTAGTAAACGGATTAAGAATGTTAAATAGATCTCGTCTATACATAGATAGCATGTGGTTTAGTAATTAGTAAGGGTGAATTTTTTGAGTACCTTTTTGAAGTTTGCTCATCCAGTTAGAGGAGATTATATCTCTTTCAAAAAGGGCATTTGTCACAAAAAAACTTAATGGTCAGGTTTTTTGTCATATATGACACTATTCGTAAAAAAGCACTTTATGAACTTTATGATTATTTTATCACTGATAATGTAAAAGCTGTGTTGATGCCTGCTATTTTTTGGGGTCAACTGCAGAAACGTACAGAATACATTACATACGCCATATTATACTTAATATGTTTAATTGTTATTGTGCAGTATGTATATACAGTTTGCGTGTGAACATGTGTGTAAAGAGAGGGCACTTCTGATGTTTTGGTATGAATCATGGGTTTCTCACTCTGAGTGATTGCTTGTCAGTGTTTTTGCTAAACTGTGCATCACCTCAAGTCTTGCGTGTATGATTTGCATGGGAACTAGTTTGTCCTCAACCACACTTACTTTCGCTGTCAGAGTATTTGTGCATATGTCTATATGATTATGTGTGTATATGTCCCTTATCCACTATAGAAAACATAAGCACCTACGATTATGCCCGTCACGTAAGCTGATTGTAATGTGTGTTGTGTATGTAGTGTGCATAGTGGAAATGTTAACATAGTTTCATAAAGATCCAGCGAAATCTCTTTGCAAGCAGATTTTTCTTACCTGTGCTGATGTATTTTCTCTTGAAACATAAAGTTTGATTAGTAATATTGTAGGCTATTTATTTATGTATGTATGTATTTATTTATTTATTTTTCATTTTAGTATGTATTTATTTATTTTTCGTTTTACCTACAGATATTTATATAGCCAAATGGCTTTCATTTACCTCACAGGCACAAACCATAATTTGTTAATTGCAATAGCATTAGGTGGAGGGACAATCTCATTCTAGAAAACTTTTGATTAGACCAAAATTTTTGTGCAGAATCAGTCATCAATATTTTTTTGATTCCGTGCTCACTAAAGGTTATATCTGCAAAAGATGAATTTGATCAACTTTTAGAAGAATACACTCTAAAAAATGCTGGGTTAAATACAACCCAGTGCTGGGTAAAATAGGGACAAACCCAGCAATTGGGTTGTTTTGACCCAGCGGTTGGGTTACTACCCAGAAGGTTGGGTTAAACATTTAACCCAACCGCTGGGTCAAAACAGCCAAATTGCTGGGTTTGTTCCTATTTTACCCAGCACTGGGTTGTATTTAACCCAGCATTTTTTAGAGTGTACTAGCTATAGATTAGCCTCAAAACTAACAGACATGGACTACAAACAAAATGTACTTGTTTCTTGTCATAAATCTAATAACGTCAAGTGAAGCTATGCTTAAAACAGATTTAACCATCTTACGGAAACATTTCACACAAATGTATAGCGACTCTTTTCTCTCTTTTTCCATCTTGGTTTCTTTATTCCTGTCTCTCTGTCTTTCACACATATACAGTCCTCTAATCTCTCTTTATCACACGTTCTCACACATTCTCACGCATTCTCTGGCATTGAATTAGTGAGTTCATTGCTATGTAAAGGAGACCAGTGGGGTTTAACCTACTTAGTACGCCTTTTAATAATTTATGAGTGAGATTTGAGAGCCGTGTGCAGCACAATAAGGTATCTTCACTTGCTCTTTTTCGGCTTTGATCTCTCCCTCTTGCTGCCTCCTTTTTCTACTTTTTCTCTCAGTTTCTCATTCCCGCTTTGAGCGGTACCCCCATGATGCCCTGCATGCCTTCAGGGAGATTCATTATCCATATTCCATATGGGAGGATATTTGAATTAGATTTATTTGTGCAGTATTTCTATATCTGTTGTGTAGTCTGGAGAATGGATGGGTAGAGTCGAGCAGAAAGACGCGAGATAGGGTAATACAAATGGACTTGGAAGGTAAGGACAGATAGACGCTGGGATGGTGAAGAAGCAGACGTACTGATTACAGATAGACAGATTTCTTGCTCATCACTGGTTCTTCAGACAGTGTTTTTCCTCCTCCACCTCACAGTTCGTGCTCTCACATTTCCAGGTTATGCCCCGATAGATAGTGTTAATGAGGGATTCTGACAGACGGTCTGTGTGAAGATCCTGCTCTGTGTTCCTGAGGGATCTCCTCAGTTAACAAGCTCACTGGGGAAGACCTTGGCAGCATTTTCCCACGCTGTCAAGCTGAGCTCAGTGTTCAAGAACGGGCCCTGAGTGTTCAAATTGCAGTCTTTGCCTCTTTCTTTCTCTAATTTCTCAGTTTATTTGCACTCTGTCTGAGGTATGACGTCAAACTGGATGTATTGTGATGTTCCAGATGTCTGTCAGCGAAACTTTAAGAATGGAGAATAAATTCCTATGGTTAGTAAGACCAGAGTTCAGCAATCATTATATCTAATCTGAGTGCGGTCTGTGATGTATCACACTGTATAACATGGGTTATTGGTTTTTCAGTGGCCAGTACTGATAACGATATTTAGAAGGGTGGCCAATGAGTAGTCAGATTTTTTTTGGTGGAGATTTATTTCTGTGGAGATTTAGGGAAATTCTGTGGAACATGATATTGTGTTGAACAGAGCTGAGGTGTTACCGATCATTCAACATTATGAATAATGGCCATTAGAACTGGTCCTTTGCAAAAGCTCCACCCTCTTGTTGCTAACGCAGACAAGCTTTATAGAACATCCCATAGAAATGAACTGAAGGTTTCCAAACCTTTTCAGTAAACTGTGCTCATGATGTGTTAAAATAGTTACAATTCTTATGTGGGTTTAATGAATTAACACAGAAAATATATATTTTTTCTTTTTTTAAAAGAATGGTGAAATTAGTGACATGGTAGTGACAAGCAAATGCTTCTAACAGTCAACTGAAAAGTGAATAGCCTCTTGTGAACGCAGTTAGAAGTGATAGCAGAAGTGTAAGTCAACACAACTGTGCCTAATGTTACTACAATACATTCTCTACTGGTAATGTGGACTCTTTAGTTACTATTGACACTAACATGACATGAATCAATATGTAAATTATGTTAATTTAGTAACTGTAATTTACGTACTGTAGGAGCAACCGTCACACTGCACACTACCGTCCAAATGTCTGTGGTCAGTAAGAATTTTTTTTTTTTTTTTTTTTAAGAAATTAATACAATTTTTTCAGCAAAGACACGTTAAATTGATCAAATTGAACAGTAACGACATTTGTAATGTTGCAAAATGTAATTTCAGATGAACTGTTATTTTGAACTTTAGATTTATCAAAGAAAAAAATGAAATCACAATTGCTACAAAAATATTAAGCAGCGCTGTTTTCTGTTGGTAAATGTTTCTTGAGCACCAAATCAGCATATCAGAATGATCATGTGACACTGAAGACTGGAATAATGGCAGCTTTTAAAATTATATTTTAAAGTGTAATAATATTTAATATTCAAATAGAAAACAATTATTTTTATTACAGTTATTACAGTTTTTACAGCATTCCTGATCAAATAGCAGCTTTGTTGAGCATAAGAGACTTTAAAAAAAAAAACGTTTGAATGGTATAGATGTTCTTTTAGGAATGAAGGCTGACACATAATTTAATCCACAGCATGTACTTATCAGGAATTATTTAAAGATTTGGAAAAGCATGTATGATATAATGACAGCAAAATAAAATTAAATGAAAAATTGTACTCTATTGAAAATATTGGTAAACAGCAAAAGTGCATTATCCATTGACTGGACACTTTTTTTGGGGCCGATATATATTTGTCACAACTATATACAGTAGGATTTGAAATGCATGCACGCAAACACATCTGACAACTAAAAAATGTCCTCTTCTCTGTTCCTTTCCACTCTTTTTCTGTCTTTCCTAGGTCACTGTGTTGGACTGACTGTCTTTTGGACAGGTTTGACCCGAGAGCAGTTTGTCACCCCCTTTTTTAGAGTGTACTAGCTATAGATTAGCCTCAAAACTAACAGACATGGACTACAAACAAAATGTACTTGTTTCTTGTCATAAATCTAATAACGTCAAGTGAAGCTATGCTTAAAACAGATTTAACCATCTTACGGAAACATTTCACACAAATGTATAGCGACTCTTTTCTCTCTTTTTCCATCTTGGTTTCTTTATTCCTGTCTCTCTGTCTTTCACACATATACAGTCCTCTAATCTCTCTTTATCACACGTTCTCACACATTCTCACGCATTCTCTGGCATTGAATTAGTGAGTTCATTGCTATGTAAAGGAGACCAGTGGGGTTTAACCTACTTAGTACGCCTTTTAATAATTTATGAGTGAGATTTGAGAGCCGTGTGCAGCACAATAAGGTATCTTCACTTGCTCTTTTTCGGCTTTGATCTCTCCCTCTTGCTGCCTCCTTTTTCTACTTTTTCTCTCAGTTTCTCATTCCCGCTTTGAGCGGTACCCCCATGATGCCCTGCATGCCTTCAGGGAGATTCATTATCCATATTCCATATGGGAGGATATTTGAATTAGATTTATTTGTGCAGTATTTCTATATCTGTTGTGTAGTCTGGAGAATGGATGGGTAGAGTCGAGCAGAAAGACGCGAGATAGGGTAATACAAATGGACTTGGAAGGTAAGGACAGATAGACGCTGGGATGGTGAAGAAGCAGACGTACTGATTACAGATAGACAGATTTCTTGCTCATCACTGGTTCTTCAGACAGTGTTTTTCCTCCTCCACCTCACAGTTCGTGCTCTCACATTTCCAGGTTATGCCCCGATAGATAGTGTTAATGAGGGATTCTGACAGACGGTCTGTGTGAAGATCCTGCTCTGTGTTCCTGAGGGATCTCCTCAGTTAACAAGCTCACTGGGGAAGACCTTGGCAGCATTTTCCCACGCTGTCAAGCTGAGCTCAGTGTTCAAGAACGGGCCCTGAGTGTTCAAATTGCAGTCTTTGCCTCTTTCTTTCTCTAATTTCTCAGTTTATTTGCACTCTGTCTGAGGTATGACGTCAAACTGGATGTATTGTGATGTTCCAGATGTCTGTCAGCGAAACTTTAAGAATGGAGAATAAATTCCTATGGTTAGTAAGACCAGAGTTCAGCAATCATTATATCTAATCTGAGTGCGGTCTGTGATGTATCACACTGTATAACATGGGTTATTGGTTTTTCAGTGGCCAGTACTGATAACGATATTTAGAAGGGTGGCCAATGAGTAGTCAGATTTTTTTTGGTGGAGATTTATTTCTGTGGAGATTTAGGGAAATTCTGTGGAACATGATATTGTGTTGAACAGAGCTGAGGTGTTACCGATCATTCAACATTATGAATAATGGCCATTAGAACTGGTCCTTTGCAAAAGCTCCACCCTCTTGTTGCTAACGCAGACAAGCTTTATAGAACATCCCATAGAAATGAACTGAAGGTTTCCAAACCTTTTCAGTAAACTGTGCTCATGATGTGTTAAAATAGTTACAATTCTTATGTGGGTTTAATGAATTAACACAGAAAATATATATTTTTTCTTTTTTTAAAAGAATGGTGAAATTAGTGACATGGTAGTGACAAGCAAATGCTTCTAACAGTCAACTGAAAAGTGAATAGCCTCTTGTGAACGCAGTTAGAAGTGATAGCAGAAGTGTAAGTCAACACAACTGTGCCTAATGTTACTACAATACATTCTCTACTGGTAATGTGGACTCTTTAGTTACTATTGACACTAACATGACATGAATCAATATGTAAATTATGTTAATTTAGTAACTGTAATTTACGTACTGTAGGAGCAACCGTCACACTGCACACTACCGTCCAAATGTCTGTGGTCAGTAAGAATTTTTTTTTTTTTTTTTTTTAAGAAATTAATACAATTTTTTCAGCAAAGACACGTTAAATTGATCAAATTGAACAGTAACGACATTTGTAATGTTGCAAAATGTAATTTCAGATGAACTGTTATTTTGAACTTTAGATTTATCAAAGAAAAAAATGAAATCACAATTGCTACAAAAATATTAAGCAGCGCTGTTTTCTGTTGGTAAATGTTTCTTGAGCACCAAATCAGCATATCAGAATGATCATGTGACACTGAAGACTGGAATAATGGCAGCTTTTAAAATTATATTTTAAAGTGTAATAATATTTAATATTCAAATAGAAAACAATTATTTTTATTACAGTTATTACAGTTTTTACAGCATTCCTGATCAAATAGCAGCTTTGTTGAGCATAAGAGACTTTAAAAAAAAAAACGTTTGAATGGTATAGATGTTCTTTTAGGAATGAAGGCTGACACATAATTTAATCCACAGCATGTACTTATCAGGAATTATTTAAAGATTTGGAAAAGCATGTATGATATAATGACAGCAAAATAAAATTAAATGAAAAATTGTACTCTATTGAAAATATTGGTAAACAGCAAAAGTGCATTATCCATTGACTGGACACTTTTTTTGGGGCCGATATATATTTGTCACAACTATATACAGTAGGATTTGAAATGCATGCACGCAAACACATCTGACAACTAAAAAATGTCCTCTTCTCTGTTCCTTTCCACTCTTTTTCTGTCTTTCCTAGGTCACTGTGTTGGACTGACTGTCTTTTGGACAGGTTTGACCCGAGAGCAGTTTGTCACCCCCGGAGCACTGCTTCTCATTTCCTCTTGTGTCATATCGCCCTAGTCCGTCCTGCTGAAACTGGGTGGATTTGAGTGAGATCAGGCTCTTGTGAAGAGTAACAACCCCGTTAAACAGTGCTGGAATTTACTCAACACACTTTTATTCCGAGAGAACTTTGGGATTGTATCCAGAAAGTTACATAACACCAAAACAAAGAGCGCTACACCTGTGAGCCGTACACTTTGATCGAATGGCGTCATAACCACTCACACGCACCCTGGATCACCAATCATTAACCTGTTTCTGTCTTACAGCCACAATAGCAAGCGCTCGCAAAGACAATCGCAGACAAAGCTCTCCTAGTTGGATTACCAAAAGTAGCTCATGATGGGAAAGTAGACATCCGGCAACACGGATAACCTGCACAGAGGTCTGGGACTCAGTGTGGTATCTGAGCGTGCCATGTCTGGAAACGGCAACCCCTGCCCCAGCCCCGGAGGTCTGGGCACCCATTTAGGGGGCTTCCCTATGACGCACTACCCTTACTTCTTTCCTCATATGCTAGGAGGGCTCTCCCCTCCAGCGCTTCCAGGACTTCCTGTCAGTGGATACAGCACTCCATCTCCTGCAAGTGAGTACCCTTTTTTTCTGGTGTGAAACTTCTGTGTCTTGCTATCAGCCAATGCATTCAGGTGTGATACATTTAAAGACATTTACATTTACATTAATTCATTTGGCAGACGCTTTTATCCGAAGCGACTTACAGTTGTGAAATACAACAAGCGATGTATCATAAGATGACAATAAACATGAGAGGTGCCCGTTATACAAGGTTTCAGTCATCGTTCAAAATAGTAAAAAGCTAGGACTAGAGGATAATAAGAAAACAGAAAATGTGAAGGCATAGAATTTTTTTTATTATTATTATTGTTTTTGGAGGCAGTTAGATGCTCACGGAAGAGATGAGTTTTCAGTTGTTTCTTGACGATTGTGAGGGATTAGGCTGTTCGGATGGAGTTAGGTTTACCGACCGCAGGCTTCTGGAGGGGATGCAGATGCATAGAAGAGAGCGGAGGTAAGGTGCGGAGCCTGTGCAGTTCTGCAGGCAAGCAAGTTCTGTAGCAAGTCTTGAACTTGATGCGAGCCGCGACTGGAAGCCAGTGCAGAGAGATGAGAAGCGGTGTGACATGGGCTCTCTTGGGCTTATTGAAAACAAGACGTGCTGCTGCATTCTGAATCATTTGCAGAGGTCTGATTGCACATGTTGGAAGTCCAGCCAGAAGAGCATTGCAATAGTCCAACCTAGAAATGACAAGCGCCTGGACGAGAAGCTGTGTGGCATGCTCTGCTAGGAAGGGTCTGATAAAGAATGGTGCATGGTGTATTGTGAAAAGTACAAGACGTACGTACTAAATAAACTCCTGTTACCTGATGTTTATCATGCAAGGCGGTACAGCACATTTAAACCTAAAATAAACATTTCACCCAAAAATGAAAATGATGTCATTTTCTTTTAAAATATAGTTTATTTTCTCCATACTGTAGTTCATAGAATGGAGGCCAGTTTCTGCCTCAGCTACTCTACAGGGTAATTTTATATTTCAAAATGTGACTATCACAATTGTGACTTTTTTATTTTTAAAAATATCTCACAGTTGCACAGTTATCTTTTTTTTTTACTATTTTATGCCACAGTGACCAGGGACTAACAAGCTCCAGAAAGGATGAAAAAATATAGCGCTATATGCATTACCTCTCAAAATTTGAGAGTCAATTAGATTTTTTAAAATCTTTTTGAAAGAAGTCTTTTATGCTCACCAAGGCTGAATTTTATTTGATGTATTTTTTATTTTAATATATTTTGAAATGTATCTTATTTCTGTGATGTCGAAGCTGAATTTTCAGCAGCCATTGCTGCTGTGGAAATGCCATTGAAGCCATTGATTCAGTGTCACATGATCCTTCAGAAATCTTTATAATATGCTGATTCGATGCTGATTATCAATGTTGAAAACAGTTGTGCTGCTTAATATTTTTTGTGGAAACCGTGATTTTTTCAGGATTCTTTGATGAATAGATGATTACACTCCTATCAAATGAAATCTTCTGTATGATGACAGAATTTTATTTTTGGGTGAACTGTCTCTTTAAGATTTTTAAAAAGATCTTTAAGAAGGGTTAGTAGTAGCTGTGATTGGTCTTTTACATATGTGCTCGCTACAGTTTAATTAAGGGATGTAAATATGTTCTTGACAATATGGTGTCTGCTGTTTTTCTGTGTACTTTACAAATCACCCACTGATCATATTAAGCCTTAGAAGACCCTTGATTAAATA